CTAGTGCCTTCCCTCTGATACTACCACCAGTTTATCCTAGCTATCTTTATTCTTGTTTGTATAGAATTGTTTGTATATTGTCTTTCCCATTAGACTATAGCCTTTTCAAGGGCAATGTCTGGTTTTTGCCTCTCTTTGTAGCACTAGTGCTTGGCCCACTGCCTGGCACATAGTAGGTGCTTAATAAATGCTAGTTGACAGAGTGACTACCTGGGATGTTTCATACCCAGAGCATATGATCTATATGGAATTCTTTCATCGAAAAGAAAATCCAATTCATGGTGTATCTTTCTGACAGGAGACAACATCCAATGGATGAAATATTTTGCCTGTCAAAGGGAAATAGATATTAATAAGCCAGGCAGTCAAGGCAGAGTTGTCCAGGGTCCTTTGACCTAGTTTGTAAAATCTCTTTTATAGAACCTGTAAATTCTTCAGTTTATGGGGCTCCTTCATGAGCAAACTTCCTCTGTCAAATCAGATCAGCATCTTCTGTACAATGGGGGGTTTTAGATAACCTGGGCTCTGTGAGCTGTTCTTTCTTTCTTTTTCTTTTTTTACATTTTGATAAGCTGCATTTAAGTATAACTAGTTTCCTTTGTAATCCTACATATTTTATTTTGTACATTTAAAAACATTATTCAGAGAGGGGTCCATAGGCTTCAAAGGGTCCAGGACACAAGAAAGGGGTGAGCTCTGTCTTAGACAATTTTCTGAGAAGTTAAGTGATTTATTCAAGGTCACACAGCCAGTGTGTACCAAATTGAGACTGGAACTCAGGTCTTTCTCTCTATCACATGATCTTATCTCCCATGGAATTGCAGATTATTAGAATCAGAAGCTGGTTTTAGAGATCAGCGTGGGGTAGTAATCTTTGTCTACAAACAATGATGTCTGTACTATATAGATTTAGACCTTTACAAAATTTCCCTCTTTAAGTGCAAATTGCATAAAATTCAATTATTCTCAGTCACATCCAACCCTTCATAAACAAATTAATTTGCAATAAACAAAAATACAGAAAATAATCAATCAGTCTTCTGTGGGTAGGGAGTAGGAATTCTCTGGTTCATTGAAGATTAAGTAGGAAATTTTTTTGTTCCAACACTTGTTCGAAGTCTTTCGGAAACCTTACCTGATTTAGAAAGCCCAGGGTGATGAACATATTTGAGTCTTTGGGCGAAGAGTGTTGTAGGATACTGGAGGTATCCTGAGACTGGGCTCAGCACTCACCCTCTCTGAAATCTGTGGTTTCTGTGTATGTTCAGCGTGATGTTAGATTCAGGAGGTTCTGGATTTGAGTGTCGCCTCCAATACATACTATGTATCCTTTGGCAAATTACTTAATTTCTTCTGCTCTAGGCAACATTTTAAGTTACAAAGCAGGTACTCATTTGCATTAGTGTAAGGAACTGGTTTTTTATTGGGAGCTCTCTATTTCAATAAAAGCACAGGCCATCTCTACCCTGCAATGAAATCCTTCGTATGGGTTTATTTCTTTCTGTTTTCAGTGATTTGCTTTTCTCTAGGAGTCAAATGTAACATTAATATACCATTGGCAAGGTGACTTGGCCCAGCTCATCTAGAAAAGTTTTTGGACTATGTTCCCAAAGTCACCCAAATGTTTATATCTTTTGACTGAGTCTGACCAATACTGGTCTTTTTACTCCAAAGTGTAAAGACAAAGGGAAAGGTGACTGTGTGTATGTGTGTGTGTGTGTGTGTGTGTGTGTGTGTGTGTGTGTGTGTATCAAAACATTCATAGCAGCATTATTTGTTGTAGCAATAAAACTAAGCCAGAAACAAAGTGATATCTGTTGATGGGGGAATGGATGAAGAAATCATGGTACATGAATGCTATGTATATTAGGGCACTGTAAGAAATGAAAAATATGAAGAATTCAGAGAAACTTAAGGTTTGCATGAACTGATGAAAATAAGCAGCAGCAAGGGAATAATTTTCATGACTACAGTAATGTAAAGAAAAACCCCACATTCTAATCCATGCGATGACAACCTTTCCTCTGGAGGACTAGTGAGGAAACACACATCCTTTCTCTTGGTAGGGAGGGTGAGCTGCAGTGCAGAATGACAACTATGCTCTTCAGACATAAACAACGTGTTAGTTCATCTTGTTTAACTTCAATTATGTGTCACACCAGTGAGTCTGGTTAGCAGGGGATGGCATTGGGAAATGACAGTGATTTGGAAAATCACCAATAAAACACTGAGAAAATAAACAGTGAGTACAAGCAGGCATATGCTGGAGCCAGCTCATACAGTCTCACTGGAGAGGATTACCAAAGTTTCAGTGTGAGCGTTTACATCTCAGAAACCAGCAAACACTACAAACCAGAGTTGCATTCACTGGTTTTTTATCTAGACTTTAGAAAGTGATGGAGAAAAGGTTACTAATGCAGATTATGCATATGTGTGTGGTTTCACCTCCCCCTGCTTTTCAGAGATGTGGTTGGTAAATATTTACCAGCATTATACCTGAACACAGGTAAAGCCCTGGGTAATTTACTGTTTTGGTCAATTGTGCTCTCACTGTAAAAAATCTACCCTCCTTAGTTTTGACATCAATCTTTAGGAAATGTTTCTGGAACCCATTTTTGAACAACCTTAAAGAACCATGTTAACTTTTTTTTTTTGGCAGTTGGGGTTAAGTGACTTTCCCAGGGTCACACAGCTAGTAAGTGTCAAGTGTTTGGTCTGAGGCTGGATTTGAACTCAGGTCCTCCTGACTTCAGGGCCGGTGCTCTATCCACTGTGCCACCTAGCTGCCCTTAATTTTTTTCTTACACTTCATAAAGCATAGAACCTTTGTCAATTCTAGATTCTGGAACACAGTAGAGAAATATCACTAGGACGTGAGCTTTGGTCTCTGACCTCAGACTTTGAGAAAAGCCCAGGTACCCTTAACTTGGCATTGCCCTTTAACAAAAGGGATTTAGACAATGCTGAGTCTAGGCACACATTGAAATGTGCTCTGACAACTCTTAAAAAGTGGGAGAAGAGTGGCACATGATTAACAGAGAAGCAGCAGAGAGTGGAAACGAGTATTCATAAAAGCCAAGTGAGAGGGGCAGCTAGGTGGCACAGTGGATAGACCTCTGGCCTTGGAGTCAGGAGGACCCGGGTTCAAATCTGACCTCAGACACACAATACTTACTAGCTGTGTGACCCCTGGGCAAGTTACTTAACCCCAATTGTCTCACCAAAAAGACAAAAAAACCAAACCAAAACAATAAAAAAAAGCCAGTGAGAAAGAATAGGTGCATTACCAGGTAGAATTCTTTGATATCTTGAAGGTAGCATCCCACAGATTTTATCTTTGTCCTTACTTAAAACTCTGAAAATCAGAAATCTCTCTCTTTTCACAGTTCAGGAAATCAAGGTCAAAGATCTAGGGCTGGAAGGGACCTCAGAAGTTATGTTAACTAGCCAACCCCATTTTACAGATAACAAACCTGAGTCTCAGAGAGGTGAAGAGAATTGCCCAAAGTCATGCATGCAGTAAGCATTGGAAGCAGGATTTGAATCCGTGTCCTCTGACTCGAGAGCCGCTCCCCTTTCCACTAAGACACACTGCTATAAGCTGCCTTACTGACACTTCATGGTTTGTGGTTGTTGAAATCACCGGTCTTTTAGAAAAAAAATGTTCATTGCCTTAGGCATTTAATAGCTATGTGGCCTGGGCAAGTCACTTGACCTTTATCCCTCACTTTTCTCATGTGTAAAATGGGGGGGGGTTATTAATAACACCCACCTCCCAGAGTTGTTGTGAGGACCAAAGGAAAGTAAAAACTTTGCAAACCTTAAAGCAGCATATTGGTGCTGGGCCTGGAGTGGAGCCCTCCCCTGTCTCCAACAATTAGGGACCAGTTGTCGTCCATACCAATTGCTGCTTGTTCATATCCTTTGACCGTTTGTCAATTGGGGAATGACTCACTGAAAATTTGAAGTAATTCCTTCTATATATTGCAAATGAGACCTTTATCAGAGAAATTTGAGTCCAGGACTGTGCATATTTTTATAAGACTTTGTTTTTATTTTCATTGCAGGCAAGGTGAGGAGAGAAAAGAAATACCTGTAATAAAAAAAGGAGGCGGGGGGAGGCATCTAGGTGGTGTTGTGGTTACAGCTCAGGCCTGAAGTCAGGAGAACTCATCTTCCTGAGTTCAAATCTGGCCTTAGACATTTACTAGATGGGTGACCCTGGGCAAGTCACTTAACCCTGTTTGCCTCAGTTTCCTCATCTGTAAAATGAGCTGGAGAAGGAAATGGCAAACCACTCCAGTATCTTTGCCAAGAAAACTCTGAAAGGGATCATAGAGAATTGGATATAACTGAAATGACTGAACAACAACAAATTGAAAAAATAACTATACTTTTATAATTTGTTTCCTTTGTATTTTATGTATTTAAAAATGTCATTTCATAGAAGGGGCCCTAGGTTTCATCAGACTGCCCAAGGGGTCCACAACGGAGAAAAAGTGAAGGTGTAGAGAAACACTTGTAGGGTATGCTGTAGGGGAATTCTTATTCATTATGGGTTGAGTTAGAAGGGCATTAAGGTCCCTTAGCTCTGTGAAATTCTGTGAATTTGAATATCAGTTCTTTGAGGAGAGGCATGTTTTCATTATGCCTTTCTGTACCCAGCATGTAGCAAAATATCTGGCATGTAGTAGGTGCTTAATAAATGCTTTTTGAATTGAATTTACATAGTAATTGCTTAATAAATGCTTTTCATTCATTCATTCACTCATTCATTCTGTGAAGTGCCAGGCAGAATAGCTTTACTCTTTGCCATCTTATTTCTTAGCCCCCTCTACTCTGCTTCTGCTATCTCATCACCCTCAGCTCTGGGAGGGCAATGAGAACTGATGTACCAAAATGAGTCTTTGAGGAAGGCAGACTTCCCTTGGAATTGCCCTTGCCCCCACCTCCCAACTCTGCCTCCTCCACAACGCTGACCCCAAGGCTGAGATGCTCACCTGATAAGATAGAGGCCACAGCTGCAATGATAAAGGACACGATGACACCGGGTCCTGCCATTTCTTTTGCCACCAGCCCAGATACCACATACATGCCAGTGCCCACACAGCTGCCAACCCCAAGGGAGATGAGGTCCACCGTGGTGAGCACCTGGGCCAGCTTGGTCCCATGAGGTGCGGTGCTCCCCGTGCCTTCCAGCATTGACTCCACGGGCTTAGTGCGAAGGATCCTGGAGTGCATGGCATACCAAGCAGCCCCCCACTGTACCCTCCGGGGGTCCAGGGAGGCAAAGAAGCCACTCATTGTGATGGAGAAGGATGGAGGCAGATGCCAGCTGGCTGGAGAGACTGGAGGGCTTAGTCAATGGCTCAGGAGCTCATCAACTTCAAGGGAGGGGAGACTCAGAAAAGATCCAGGGGGCCCCACAGCCACATGCTTTAGTCACAGGCTTCCTCCTTTCCCTGAAGCTTAGAGTCCTGTGGCAAACCCTAGAAGAAAAAGGACAAAAGAAAAGGATGAGTGAGATCGCATGGAGGCAACACTTGGGTCTGAAGAACAAAGGCGTAGTGGAAGGAACAATGAAGTCAGAAGACTGTGGTTCAGTCTCAGCCCAGCCTAGGGCCATAACTAGGGTATGGCCATTGGATCTTTACTCCTGGGTGCTGAAATTCAGAAGGCCCTGGTGATACCTACATTCATTTAGCCTTATAGAAACAAATGAACTCAGCAGGTAGTTAGCAAGAATAATTAGTTAATGTTATAGACTTCGAATTAAAAAAAATATATGTATGTGTGTGCATGTGCTAAATTTAACAAGGTAATTAACAAAATTGCTCTATTTGTGTTCACTCCTGCATCTTTTAATTGCTTTTGCAAATTAAGAAAAAGTTTTATTTATATTCTTTTTTCCTGTTTATTACTATCTCTAACTCATCTTCCTCTATCCCTTCAGTAGAAGTCTTCCCTTGTAAGATATATGCATAATCAAATAAGACAAATGAACACACACACACAAATGAGAATTGGCTAAAACAGGGAGTTAGAAGATGTTGTACCACCCCTTCCAAGTCAGGTTGTCCCTGCCTTATTGCCTTCTTATCACTCACTGCTATTGGCTGGTATCATTCCCTGGGATCAGCCTCTCTGCCATGGCCTCACTGGGTCTCAGGATCTCTGCCCACAGGGGTCAGTGTCTGGGGGTTTCTGCTTCTTTTCCATGGCTGAGGTCCCAAGGTCTCTCCTCCCAGGAGTCCTCATTTCCAATGGTCTTCCCCAACCCCTTAAATTGTTTGTCTTTGATCTGATGGGATAGTTTGTGTTCCTTGCCTGGGAAATCAATGACAACTCTGATACAGCCACTAACTTACTATGGTCAAGTTGCTCATCTTCTCATCATCAGTTCTTTCATCTATAAAATGAGTATAATAACACTTGCACTACTTATCCACCAGAAATTTGAGTTATTGTACCGGTTGGAGGGAGTCTGGGTCTTACGTATCCTTAGGGCTATCCTTAGCTTACTCAGGAGGAATCTTACATCTGTGATATGGCTTTCCTATCCAAAATCCCTCACCTTCACTCTGAACTTTCAACTTAGACTTCAGCTGTCTGAAATACCAAAGACGTTCTAAGGGCTAATGAAATGCAAAAACACCAACTCGGGGTTCTTCTAAGTCATTTACATCTCTGGACCTCAGTTTCCACAACTTGAGAAAGAAAGAATTGAATGAGATACATTCTAAGGCCTCTTTCAGCTCTGAAGTGCTCTTTGCCTTTGGAAATTATCCCATATAACTTTATATATATGTTTATTTACTGATTTGCCAGTCAGTCAATCACTAAGCATTTATTAAATACCTACTATGTGTTGGTGCTGTGCTAAGCACAGAATTGATGGGAGACAATCAGCATTGGACAGGGACCAGTATGGAAAGTGAAGGCTTCTCAGAGGAAGTGGAATTTTAGCTGGGGCTTGGAGGAAGCCATGGAAGACAGGAGATGGGGATGAAGATGGAGAGAAACCCAGGCATGGCGGACAGCCAGCGAAAACAGCTGGAGTGTTGGGAGATGGAACGTGCTGTTCTGGGAACAGCAAGGTCAGTGTCACTGGATGGGGGCAGGTGAGTAAGGAGTAAGACAATTGCAAAGGTGGAGGGAGAGTCAAGTTGTGAAGGGCTCTGAACTCCAAACAGGATTTCATATTTGTTGCTAGAGGTATGAAGAAGTCATTAGAATTGGGGGAGGAGGGGAAAGTCGACATGGTCAGCTCTGTGCTTTGGGAAGATTATTTGACAGTTGAGAGGATGGGCAGAATATAAGCTCCCTGAGGGCAAGGATAGCTTTTTGTCTTTTTATCTGCAGGGTCTAGCACAGTATCTTTTATATAATAGGCATGAAATAAATTTCTACTGAACTAAGTTAAATAAATACCATGATTAGCTTTTTGGAACATTGGGAGCATTATAAATGCACCAGTTTAGCAGAAATTCATCGAGATTAGAATCAAGCATTGATTCTAGGTACATGACTGATATGATCAAGGCTTTTTCCTTTGCAATATATATTTTTAACCATTCCTATGATTTCAAACACAAAGCTCCTGGGGGTGAGGAATTTCCTCAGCCAATTCAGATGGGCATCTGTTCTGCATCTTATAATCTTAGGTGGTACCTGGGAGCACTAACTGGTTAAGCGACTTATCCAGTGTCACACAGTGGTAGGACTTGAACCCAGGTCTTTCTGATTCCAAGGGCTCATCTCTCTATCCATTATGCCAAGCTGCTTCTCTTTCAGTAAATCACTTTGGGAGCAGTTTTGCCTTGAAGTCTGTTAACACTATTAATTCAAACTGCTTAGCACTTGGTACAATGATTATCAGCTTTCAGAGTATTTAGAAACACTAATTCATTAACAGAGTCAGGGGAAATGTGGCAGTTTGGTTCACAGGGGGGTAGTGTCAAGTTTACTTGGTTTCACATCTCAGATAAGTTGAATTTTGGAGCCTGCATCTTCACTGTGTATTTCTTGTCTGAACAATACCTTGATGGCACCACACATGTCTGGGAGAAAGTCTTAACTTTCAGGCTTACATCTTGGTTAGAGAAATGAGGCTGCACAGTAAAAAGAGATCCCCTCCCTAGCACAGGGAGAGGCTTGAGATCTAATCTCACTTTGGGCTCTTATTAGCTGTGTACCAAACAGCAGATCAGAGTCTCAGTTTCTACATCTGTAAAACAGGGATGATAACACCCACCTTACAGAGTTGTTCTGAGGATTATTGTGACTAGAAAACCCTCTTCATTAACGTTTAGAATACAAGTTAGCAAAAGGCTTTTTTTTTCCCTTGTTCATTTGTTATAATGCTGGGGAGGGGATGTAGTAGCAGGGGAGGAAGCATTATTTAGCAGGCAGTTTATCTATGGCTATTTACCATTAAGCCACGTCTCACAGGTACTTATGGCATACAGAATATACATAGCAGTGCTGATTTACAAGCTGTCAGTCATTAATTTTTTTTCCTGTGGAGAAGAGTCAGAGCCTTTCTAATCTGCTAGTCTGTCACTGGCCTCAGGTCTAAGACAGGTCTAAGGCCTCTGTTTTTGATCACCTTAGCACAAAGAACTGAGTCAAAGGAAGGTAAGATATAAGGTTAGATGTGCTTAGCCATTTAACAAAAAAATGGAGGCTTATTCTGAGATAGCATTACTCATATCAAGAAAGAGAAAAGTATCTTTTATCTGCTACCACAAGATAAAAAAAGATAATATTTAAATGCTAATTATTATGATGGTAGTATCTAGTCATTACTTCTTGATTCCTCTTCAAATTTTCTTTTATCTCCAACTTGCACAGTACTGTTCTCTTTGGAAATACTGTCCCACCTCCCTCCCTCCTCCTCATGGATTGTAAGTACCTTGAGACCAGAGCTCAGATAAGTTTTTGTAATTTGTATTCCTAACAACTAGCACAGTATTTGGCATACAGTAGGTGACTAATATCAATTATTAGTACAAAATTAAAACAAATATTTGCTGAAAATCAAATTTGTATACTATTGGGATAAGGACTCCATAGTTGCTGAAAACCGGAAAGCAGTTTGGCAGAAACAAGGTTTAGACCAGCATCTTATATTACCTGTCACAACAAACTCCAAACTGATACATGTCTTAAGTGTAAAATGTCACAGCCTTTAAAAAATGGAGAAGAATAGAAGGTAGCTAACTTGCACAACTATGGCTGGTAGAAAATTCCCAAAGAAACAGAAAAGAGAGAGAGGAGATGGCTGAAGATAAAGTAGGCAAAAATGTACAAAACAGGGAAAGAAACCTCTATAGGTATTGACTCTATTCACCAATCTGCTTACTTGATTTTACTTACATGAAATTGAAAAACTTTTCCATGAATAAAATAAATGTATGTAGAATGTGAAGAGAAGTAGTTAATTGGAGGAATGTGTTTGCAGTATAACTGCCTGATAAAGATCTGATATCCAAGATACATAGGGAATCAATATAACTATATAAGAATAAGAACTATTCTCTAATGGATAAGGGGTTAAAAATAACTGGGTGATTTTAAAAAGCAGACATGAGGGGCAGCTAGGTGTCACAGTGGATAGAGCACCTGCCCTGAAGTCAGGAGGACCTGAGTTCAAATCTGGCCTCAGACCAAACACTTGACACTTACTAGCTGTGTGACCCTGGGCAAGTCACTTAACCCCAATTGCCTAAAAATTAAAAAAAATCAGAAATGAAAACTACCACTACCCTAGTAAAAAAATGCTTCAAATCACTAATACAAATTAAAATTCTCAAGGTGCAAATTAAAGCAACTCACCAGATTGGTAAAGATGATGAGAAGAAAACAATTCAATGTTAACTACTGGTCTTCTTTAAGGGATCAGGTCATTAAGCAGATGGAAGATTGCAGAGGTCAGTAAAGGAGTATCAATGAACATACTTAGCTAATAGTGTGTTAATGAGACATGCTATAAAGGAAGAACTTGGGATTTGGAATGAAATCACTATCTTTAAAGTTCAGGTGTGACCATATGGTTCCCCTGCTCGAGAAATCTCAGTGCTTCCCTGTTACCTCCTATGATCAAAGACATTCTCCTTTGTCATTAAAGCCTTTCACAGTCTGGCTGCATCTCTCTTTCCAGGTTGATTTAACATTACTCCCAATCACACCAAATTCCAGCCTCATTGCCTGTGAGACCAGTTAAGACCCATTAGGACCAATTACTTAAGCTACTGAGTAGTCTTCCAGTTGCCAACAAGTCCTCTCCAACCTGGCTTTTCATAAGGCTCTTTTGGACCCTCTCTGTCCTGCAATTCTAAAGGAAAGCTCCTTCAAGCGCGTGACTTAGACTATTGTAGCAAATAGAACTCATGTCTGTCGGAATTTCTTTCTTTCTTTCTTTCTTTCTTTCTTTCTTTCTTTCTTTCTTTCTTTCTTTCTTTCTTTCTTTCTTTCTTTCTTTTTTTTT